TTGGATCGCTAACACCTACGTCCTGCCCTGACAATACACACAGAACCTACACACAGCAAAGTGCAAAACAGCAAGTGTGTAAGCAGGTAAGCGCTGGGAAGTGTACACACCCGTCTGACCAGCACACCGAGCAAGGTGTCAACATAACCATTATTCTAGAAAGTTCTCTTGCTTCTTACAGTCAAGGCCCAAACCCCATAACCAATACCTCTCTGATTCCTGCCACCCATATTAGTTGTGGCTGTTCTACAGAGTCATAAAAGGGACTTGTACAGTGTGCCACTCTTGCACTCGACTTAAACGCACTGACACACTCATGTCTGCGTTCCACCTCACCACTCCCCGAGGCGCTGCTAAGCCTGTTCCACTGCAGCAGAATACCACATCCATGTATCCATTCTCCTTAGCAAACACTTAGTGCCCCCGCCCCATTTTTAACCATTGTGATTAAAACTGCTATGAACATCCATGTAATCTGTAAATAAAGCTTTTCATCTGTTTTGGGCAAATAGCTGTCGTAGGCTGAGTGTACATTTAATGAAACCAAATTATAATAGATTCCTGCAGCTTTAAACCAAAACTTCTTATGAATAAGAATGAAATAAAATTATATCTTTAAGAATTCATGCTTTATGAATCCAAACCTACTAAGTCTTCCTTGAATATTTTGCCTAAACCCTTCCGGTTAGTGCTGTAACTCAGGAGTCATCCAGGACATCACTCCTTCAATGTCTCCAAAGGACTCCCCTTAGACAGGAAGTGCTTGTAAGAGCATCAGCAGCTCTGCAAAAATCCAGAGAACCCAATTCATGCTAGACTTTAATGTTTTAAAATCTGAGATGATAAGGAAAAATGCACGAGGAAGGTAATCTAAAAACAGGAAATAATGCCCAAACACAAACCCTCCTTTCTAGAAGTCTAAGGCCCTCGGTCGGCCCCCTCCCCTCTCCTGTCTTCTCCTAAGCAGAAGCTCACAGTTTCACTCTTCAGCACTGACTGTGGCTTTTACTTACTGACAGCAAATAAAGATTTCAGTTACAAAAGGATAGGAAGATCCCGCTGACAGTCCCGCACGAGGGACAAAGCCAAAACAGACAACAGAGCATGAACCTCACAGACAGACACTGCTGAGAAACAGATGGACCCAGAGAAATCCAGGCCTACTCCGGAAGTTCAAAACAAAAAGACAAGAAAACAAGAACATCAGCCACGAAAGGTAACGAAGGGCTTTTAGGGGCAGTTGGAAGGTAGAAAGGAGTACAGGAAATTGTCATCCATTCACACCACTATTATTTTAATGCAATGTTTCTCAAGTTAATACAAACAGATTGAACAGCATTTTACTGTAGTAAAATAACTTCTCAAAGTCATAAAAATAAATCCTTACATCTAAAAATTTAAACTTATTTAAACGGAGTATTTGCCGCCATGAGAGCTCTTAATGGATCAAAGTACTTATTTGCTAGATCTGACTCTCAAGTTCAAAAATGTGTGCTTTCATTTGTGTTAGATCTTGAACAGTAAGTGGATAACTGTGCGGTTATCTTTTCATCAAGCATATTTTGAAAATTAAGAAAATGTAATGATAACTACCAAAGGAAGTGAACAAACCACAGGCCAAAGATCACTCAAATACAGTTGATCAGCGCGAGCCCTGGAGACAGGGGGCCTGTAGCACCTTCAACTCCAGTGACTGTAGTCCATATAATAGTTTTCTCAGCACTGGGGACTGAGCCCAGGGCCTAAGTAGAAATCTCTTCTCAACTGAAAAATAGCTCAAACGTTCCTGGATTTAGTTTTATTTTCTTTATAAAGGTCTCTGTGCTTGCAGTGGCAGGTAGTAAGAGGCAGGTGGTTCTGGTGCACATTATTCCACAGTCATCTCCCCCAAGATCACGGAGACCCATTGAAAGGGGGCACACGAGCCTCTGCCTGCACCACAGCTGAACCGCCAGCTCCTGCGGAAGGCTCTCTGGTTGTCCCCGAAGCCCATCTCACTAAGGTGACGTTGAAACTGCTCCTTCCCTGAGCCCTGAAGAAACACTTCTTCCCAAATAACCGGCGGTTAGCCACTGCCTGATTGCCAACAGGGCACTCATCATCTACTGACGGCCACAAGGAGAGGCCGGCGCAAGCCAGGCATGTGGTGCACACCTGTAATCCAGAGGCTGGGAGGCTGAGGCGGACACGACAAGTTCAAGAAGGAGTGAGACCCCGTCTCAAAATTTAACAAGTGAAAAGGACTGGGGAGTGAAGGCTCTGGGTTCATTCCTGGGTTCTGCAGGAAAAAAAGGAAGGGAGGGGAAGGGAAGGAGAAGAGGAAAGTAGAGGAGAAAGAAAACAGGCAAGCGCAGTGGGGAAGCTGAATCTTTAAATTCAATCGAGATATAAATCCAACACATACGGTACATTGGATTTTGAAGATTTAAAATGTTATTTATAACAGGAATGCTTTTTATATTCCTATCAATTCATATAATATTTTGACACTTGCTATGAAATACATTATTAAGCCAGATGTGGTGGTACAAGGCTGTAATTCCAGCACTCTGGAGGCTGAGGCAGGAAGATTCTGAGTTCTAGGACAGCCTGACTTACATTGGGAGACCCTCTCTCACAAAACCAAAAAGGGAAGGGAGGGAGACAGGAAAAAACTGTTAGAATAATTTAACTTTTTTGTTTATACTTTTCCTGCTGCTCTTAGAAAAAGTTAAATATACCAATGTGGTTCACATTATATTTCTACCACAGAGTTTTGATTTAGATCCTTTAAAACAAAACAAAGCATCCGGTTTTAGAAGATTTTTAAGGTTGCAGATTCGTTTGACTTCAAATGAAACTGCTGGTGATCATGTCCAACACTGACACCAACTGGTATTCAGACAATCTGAGCAGTAGGCATAACTCTAGACTTAGATTTTAGAAGGAAGAAAAGACTGAATTCAAACATTTTGCCAAGAGAATGCATCTCTGAGCCAAAGCTACAGAATGTAAGGTGGGCTGAAAAAATCAGTAGGTTGCCTTTCACGGTACACACAGGAAACAATTCGGAATGGGATGCAATGGGTCAGGACTGTGGTTCAGCCAGAAGTTCAGTTGCTACTTAGAGATTACAGAGAGATTAAATCCTGGAACAAAACAAACTAAACGAGAGAGGGTTTGATCAAAAACAATCCAAACTTAATCAGGATTTCAGGCTCTAGTCAGAAAGACTTGACTGAATTCCCTGCAAAAGTATTTAATAGTGATGTTTACTAGTAGAGCAAAATAATTTTATTTAAGGAAATACAGCATTTCAATATAGGAATTTTTCTCTTTATCAATCAATTTTTAAATAAAATTTCACAGCCAAAAAGAAAGAAATGAATAATAACATTTGTAAATAAACATGTGAGATGGATATTTGTTAAATCACTAGTAAATATTCCAAATTTGGAAGCTAAAACTTATATTGAAATACAAGTGACTTCAAAATTCCTAGGTGGACTCTAAATTCTTTGGCTACACATGATACATCAATATACTTACTGTGGGGTAACTTTACACTTAGGTCCAAATGTGACAATACTCCTGGGTTATACCTCTGGGTTTTTGATGACTTGGATTGTATCATCACATTTTTAGACCTGAAATTGTCACATTCTGGCTTAAGTTACTCCAACCAGTTCCAAGCCAACAGTCCATCCTCCAAGTCAGACAGGACGAAAAGAAAAGGAGGGAAGGAAGGACACTGTCCACCCCTCCTGCAGAATCACAGGCGGTGTAGACAGGCACTGGCCCTCTCAGTACACAGTGACCCCTGCAATGCTGTTTCCAAGCTCCATTCAACTGAATAGATCGCAAAGGCGATGGTTCTGAAAGGTCCTTTCCGGACACCTGCACCTCCCCGTGGAGGGAGGAGCAGCACTGCCCCGGAGCTCCTGTCTCTGGGGTGTACACACCACGTGGTCCTGTGTCACAAAGCACTCACTGCGCCTGGGGCTCAGGGTTTGCTCCACAGTGCACTTTGTGCTGTGGGTGCCTCCATGTGTGCAGCCTTCCTGTTTTTTAAACTCACTAACTGGGAAGGGTGTGCAACAGGCAGTGCTGCAGTTGGGAACAGGGTATGGAAATCCACACATGGCTGTGATTCAGAGGGGAGAGCTGTCAGTCACTACTGGAGCGGCCCACTGTGTGCCAGCGGAATAAGTCATCTGCCAAGTGGCTTAAATACAAACGTCAGACGGGAGGGAAGGATGAGGACCCAGGCTGATGAAAGGCAGTGGGTGCAGAGAAGCCGTGGGCTCAGGGTGGGGCAGGGAGGGGTCGCCGCACGGTGGGGGCCAGGTGAATGGGACGGCTCAGGAGGCTGCTTAACTCCACGATTCCCCTAACCATGCGCCTATCTTTAAGTATGCTCCCCGAGTCCTTACCCCATTACTGAATGAAGAATTACTTGTACGTCTCGAAAAGCACCTGAGTGCCTTTTCCTGGGTGCTTTGATGTCCTGAATCAACTTAAAACATTTACAGTAATTTCTGGCCAAAAAAAGAACACTACAACAAAAGACACTCAGGAAAGAGGTTTTCCAGAATGGCTTCAGAAAGCAGCAAGAATGGAATTTGTGTGTTTGAAGCAAGGGCGAGCATTCTGAGGGAAATACGTCTTGTACCATAATAGTTTTTGTTTCTAATTTAAGCATTAACCATATTTTTATCACACTCGTATGAGGTCAAATACATCATTATGTGTAAACATAGTCATATATACAACACACATAGACAGATAGAAAAGCAGACAGTCACACATCTTTTTGTGTTTTGTTTCTCAGTCTCCCAGGGAAGATAAGAAGGAAGAATGTGTCAATCTGGACACAAATGAGTCTAACCTTCTGTCAAGAAGCAACATATTTTTCTGGTTTTTCTTTTCTTATGTTTTGTTTCCTCAGAATATCTTCATTTCAGTTTTTCAAGCCCACAAATATTATTTGATACTTCAGATCACACTGGCTATGGGCATACCTGACTCTGTATACTTCCAGGTAGGCACACCTGTCTTCGCATTATCTTCTATTCGATTCCATTCTTCTACTGCATTCTACAAAACACTGCAGAAAACACAGGTGTCATAGAGACAGCGACTGCACCCATCATGACTGACTCCTCCTGTAAGCAACGACTTTCCCCAACCTCTCCTTGACAGGCACCAGTCAGCCACAGCAAATCTGACAGAGGAGGCAGAGAGAGATCGTACTTACAGGAAAACATGTGCTGTCTAGAACTGAAGGGACACTATGTTTCCTTGCCCAGCAAACTGCTGGGCCACGTGCTCTTCACGTTAAAGCTCTGCCCTGTGTGCACTGGAAATCTTCACTGTTCTCTGGTAATGGCCTTCGTCTGGCAGATTCCTCCCTGCCCCTTTCCCAAGGAGTTCTTAGACAAAATATCTGTGTCTGTGGAAGAGCACTTGTATTTTCACTAGATCTTATAGAAATAGCTAGCACAGTACCCACAGTACCCAGAGAAGGGCAGGTATTTAGTAAGTGGCAGAGTCCTTCCCCTTCAGAAAAGTGCCTGATCCAAAGCCGGGCAATCTGTCCTAGTCAAGAGAAAACACAGTGAAGACTTCAGCATCTCTCTGTCCTCTGTTCTCCTGATCGCTGGCTCAGTGACTTGGTTTTGGCTGTGCTGAGCTGAGTAAGCAATGCAGACAAGAGTGTTGAGGGCTCTGCCGTGCTGATGGAGCAGAGTCACCATCCAGTCTTGGCCCCACACTCTGCTGGGAGGCCAAGGGTAAGTTGTTTATTTAAGGGAAGACCAATGTTTCCACAGCCTCTGCTACCAGCTCGGGTCAAGCAGAGACGGAAATTATACATGGGCCTGCAGGAGAAGGACTAGGGGTGGGGCCGAGATGGCGCTGTCCCAGCGGAGCCTTCTCTCTGAAACCTGTCTCTACCCAGGACCAACCTCAAGGACCACTGAGACAAAATGCACACACAGCCCGTCAGAGCGAGGCTGCCCGCAGAACACACACAGCACGCCCAGGCCTCTCCGCTGCTCTCCAGCACAGCCCGGGGCTCACTGGACTTGAACCTTCCACAGATGCGAACAGGAGAAGCAGAGTGGAGTGGAGCCAGCGACGGCGCCTCCTGTTTCATGATGGTAGCAACTGAGAAGGGCGCTGGGCAAGTTACCTAACTTTCCCTTGCCAACTTGATTCACCTATAAAACGGACTTCTAAGAGTACCTTCCTCCCAGAGCGTCAGAAGGGTAAGTGAGAAAATACGTGCAGACCTTGGAGGCATCAGCACCCGTGAGGAAAGACCTCGCACCACTGCCATCAGCACCCACACCACTGTCAGCTACAAGGTCCCAGCGCCATCGCCATACCCGTTCCACAGCTGCTTTCAGGGGCAGCTACAGGAAGGAAGCCGGCAGGGAGCGCAGGGGAAGCTGGGAGCTGACAGAGCCTCTGATGGCTTCAGAGCAAGAAGGGAAGGGAAGCGGAGGCTCTGACAGACCCAGGAGCTTTGGGCCGCTGGCGGAGGCAACCAGTGGGCGCCCAGGAACAAGACTGGGGCGCAGCTGCCATGGTGGGATCCTCGCCAGTGAGGGGACCACACGCGGGAACACAGCTGCAGGGACTGGCGGAAGCAGCCACCTGGGAACAGGCCCCGGGCCGGCCCTGTGACTTTCTCCTAGCGGGCCTGACTCTGGGGAGCAGGTTCGCTCTGTGCTACCTGCAGCACGGAGTGGGAGAAGGACGATGTTTCCCCTCAGCTCACTCCTCCCGAAGGACGGGACGGCGTCCTCTCTCTGCACAGTGCTTAGCACTTGGAGGGCACCAGGAACTCTTTCACTGCACGTGGCAGGTGCTCAGGGATCCTCTAGATGAAAAATAAAAAAACTGGAGGATGTTTCAGCTCTAAGTTCTGATTCATGAAGAAACCTGTTATTATTGAGTAGTAGCTAATAAGTTTGTACACTATAATGAGGTCCCCAGATTTTCGGGAGATTCTAAGGAAAACCACATCTGAATCCATAGGATGCCAGAGAGGTAAGCAAAATTACCAGATCGCGTCAGCCTAGTGAGATGACACTGATACTGCACGCCGTGCACTGCACAGTAAGGCTCGCCCCACCGTGCCCTGTCTCGGGAGCGCTAGCTCAGTTGTTCTCATTTAACAGTTATGGCCGAGAAATCCAGGGTGTGATAATTATTAACAAGTTTTATATTTGAGGTTTCAACTGATGCCATTTACCTCATGTTTTATTGTCTTCCCTTGGTCCAAATCGTACCAAACGTGAATGCTGACCACAACACCTGTACCATGCTCAATTACTCAGTTCTGTGAAAGTATGGTCATACCCCTGACCATGCAGGGACTCATCTGAACGCCTGTGATATTCCAGGCAGCGTTCCGTGTGCTGGAGTTGCCAGGAAGCCTCCTCCCACTCGCCTGCACTTTGGGGGGAGATGGTTAAAGGAAGTCACCTCCTCTTGATATATAATCATGCAGTGATAAAGGAGAAACAGAATTATGAAGACTCTAAAGTCAGACACTGCTATCAGAACAGTCAGAAGATCATGAACGCTCCCCGAAAGCTGGTGCATGAGCTGCATTTTGAAGAATAAGGAAAGGTTAGGTGAGCTGCCCAGTGCTCGAATTCAAAAGCAAGGAACACTTTGTCATTCAATGGTGAGGGGCTTAGTTCTACTCTCTTACTTCTGCCTACTTATCAAAAACCATAGTCAAATCCCACGGAAACAGAGGACTTACAACTTTAAAAGATATTGCTCCGTGAAGTACTTTATAACTTATCTGTGTGACACTCCAGGTGACACTAGCGACCACGCACTGCACAGATGCCAGACCTGCAGCTCCTCGAGTGCACGCCCTGACCTGACCCACCTGGGGCCTGGTGACATGGCTTCCTGACCCCAGGACTGCAAAGTGAACCCACAGGCGAGTCTGCTCCAGAAATGCCTTGGATCCAGGACAGTGTGAGGAGCTGTGCTAGACCGGAAATCCAAGTACAGCTTCCTTCCATAAGGGAATCCTTTGGAGGGGAGAAGGAGAAGAGAAAGAATGGAGACGTGTTGTGTACATGTACCAACTGCCCACGAGGAACGCAGTGCATCTAGGAACTGAACACTAATACAAAATTTTAATTTCTGAAAAGAGAAAGAACTCACTTTGGATTTTGGCACAAACTCCCTGTGCTGTCACAGACCAGACAGAGAATGTTCAGACCACTGCTTTGTGAAGCACGGACGTAACTGCCAACCGCATAAAGACAATAGTTCTCCTTCCTTATACTCGGCATCGAGTCCAGCAGAAGTGGCAGTCTGCTCAAAATATTTCCAGTCCAAACAACACGCTGCTGCCTCTGCAGTCATAGTTCCAACGGTCTCTGCATCACGGGGCCACTGCCACCGCCCATGGGAGCAGTGGCCTCTGCCCTGGTGGCAGGTGAAGCTCCCACAGACACTCACTGGCCTGCACACGAGGACCTCTGCATTCACTGCGCTCCAGTGACTTCCGCTGTCTCCCAAACTCTCTGGCTCCTCCCCAGGCCCTGCCTGGCCTCTCCTCCTGCCCATCCTGTAGATGGTGGCCCACCTGCAGGGCAGTCTCCAGACTCCGTTCTCTCTGCCTGGGGCCTACAGCTGCTGCCTTCCCTGTACCTGTCGGGTCCTATCCCATTATTAGACTACCTCTCGTTCCAAGCCTGTCTCTACACTTGTGCTGAGTTGCAGATCACCTGTATAAGCTCCACTGTGCTCTGCGGAAGTGAGGGTTTCTTCCGATTTATTCACCACTTATCTTCCCCAGTCTGACAAAGAATAAGCTATCAATACACTTGCTGAAGGAAAGAAAGTATGAAAAAAACAGAATGAATGAATGAGTTCGGGATTCCTGAGACGCAGAATAAGAATACTGTACAACTACCTGTGCATAGGTGCATTACGTACAAATGTATATTTGGGGTGCACGTGGGGGGTCCCACATGAATCTGGGCAGACCCTCAATCGTGAGGCCCCAGGAAACAGCTGGCCCTTCCCTCCATCACCCAGATGTTGCTCTCCAAAGGTTCACGTTATTCTGCCCAGCATCAGCATCTCCACGGCAGACAGCAGAGGGCAGAGGCCTGGGCTTTCTGGCAGCGACTCACCACGATTCCCCAAGAGCGGGCTTCATGAGTTTACAGTCACCCCTTGACTTCTGGCAGCCTCTCTCGAATTTCGTGAAATGTCAGGAGACTCCTCAACCTCTGCGAGTACCGGCCGCTGGATCTGCACTGCCCAGGACCGAATGTGGTACCCTGCAGCTCGGACGTGGCCTCCACCTTGGGCACTCTGCCTGGCAGCAGACGCATGCAGACCGGGCCCAGTGGGAGAGCTGTTAGAAGCCCGAGCTCAACTCAGGGCCCCCGTGGGCAGCACTCTGCTGGTGGAACACCTGTGAGGAGGCTGCGTGCGTCCCTTAGCTCCACCGGCTTTGGGAACGATAGGTGCTTCAGACCGACGGTGCTGGCATCTAGATGTCCCAAAGCCTCCCATGCTCAGGGCAGGGGCCCGCGGGTGACGATCAATGCACAGCTGGACGCAGTGTGGAGAGGGAAGCCCAAGAGGAGGTGGTCAGGGGCGCTGCCTGGCTCTGCTTCTCCTCCCACCAGCCTGGGTCGCCCTCCCTTCCCGCCCCCTGGCCCTGAGCAAACCGCTGTGCCAGCCCTGTGCCCGCTGGGCCGCTCTGCCCTGCAGCCAATGACTGCAGACTGAAACGTCTGGGAACCTCTCTCCTTAGAGCTGTGGGTGTCAGGTGTTGTAACCGAGATACAGACTGCGCAGCAGAGGCAGCCCCAGCTCCGCAGCTTACAGCCGACTCTGGACACCAACAGGACCAGCTGTTCTTGTCACAGACGGCACAGAGTGCAGCAGCTGTGCAGGGGCTCGAGCCTTCCTCCTGGGCAGCTTTCCCCTGAAAACAGGAGGGTTTCCTTGGAGACCACTGGGCGGAGGCCTGCTCTCCCTGTGAGGGGCCTGGGCTGGCAGAAAGTGCAGTGGTGTATCTGACACCCATGGGAGGCTGGGGCCCTCCAG